GGGATCCGCATCTGTGACTGCAAAAAGGTGAAAACCGTTTCACTCCCGCCGGCCTAAATTCCAGGTCCTCCGAGAATACTTCAGTACAAGGCTGGACCTTTATCTTTCTCATCTCTCTCATGCGCGCGAACTACATCGGGAGCGGTCTCAAGCAGTTCTGTTCGTGTAAACCAGAGGTTGTCCTCTGGTTCCTGAAAAGCGAACCTGACCTTATACTGTTTCTAAGGACGACCCCTACCTCCTGTTCTGAAGACATCTTCACCTATGATGCCGTCAATGTCGTACCTTCCATCCATGTCCGGAGGGATCATGGACCTCCGTGACGGAAACTGTTGACTGGTGGTACAAGGCAGCAACTTTGACGCATGAAACACCGGGTAGGTGTGGAGGTGCGCTGGAATCTCGACTGTGTAGGACGGTCCATCCTCTCCGCCCTTGACTTCTAAGACTGGCCATGGTCCTCGATATGCAGGCAGTAACTTTGCGAGATGTTCTCCTCAGGAGCAAACTCTTTGGACTTACCCAGACTAAGTCGCCTACTTGAAACTGTGATGGGCGACGGTGCTTATTGGCTTGCTCTATCATTCTATGCTGGGCCTTGCTGAGGTTCTCTGTGACGGTAGCAATCTCCTTTTCATAGTGTAGTGCAAACTCCCTAGTACCGGGTGGTAGCCTTTGGATCTGATCCCAGTTCAGTCTACGCGGTCTAAAGGACTTATGTAACTCATTGGGAGTGCGACAACTCGCTAAATGCACGCTATTACTGTATATGCTGGCTACCTTGGGAAACATCTCATCCCAGTTAAGCTGATCGGGTCTAATATACATTTTGAGAACTTGCTGCAGGATTTTGTTCATCTGTTCAGTCTGACCGTTAGTCTCAGGATGATGGCCAGATGACATCAACAACCTAGAGCCATAGACTCTCATCAACTCCTGCCAGTTCTGACTGGTGAACCTGGAACCTCCATCACTAACTATTGACAGCGGGAGACCATGCTCACCGACCCAATGATCAAAGAACTTATCTATAACTATGTCTGTACGTGCCTCTGCGGGCAAAGGAACAAAAACAGCGTATTTGTTGAACCTATCAACTATAACCATGACTTGGCTCTTGTCATGCCTACTCTTGACCCCAGCATCCATGAAATCAATGGAGACAGAATCTCCGGGTCCTGTGGGAATAGGAAAGGGTCTGAGAAGACCAAGAGGGCCCCGCGTAGTGGTCTTATTCAGTTGGCAGACTTTGCAACTGCGTACATACTCTATGCAGTTGGCCTTCATACCTGGCCATGTATATGCACGTATGAGGTTGGCTAACATCCTCTGCCAACCAAAATGTCCCTTTGTGTCGTGACATTCTCCTAAGATCAAACTACGTATCTCTTCACTATCGGGAACATACAAATGGTCAACTACGTTAGTCTTCTCAAATAGTAACCCATTTGTAGTGCGGTAGTCTGGCTCAGACTCTGGAGCCTCCTTAACTCTCTTCAAGAGATCACAATAAATAGGGTCCTGCGCATATGCCTGTTTGACTTTCTGTTGCAGATCCTGATAGTGAACTATTGCTCCAAAGTAATCAGCTCTTCTGCTTAGAGCGTCCGCGACTACATTATACTTCCCTTTTACCGACTTGAGCTCAAAGTCAAACCGATCTATCTTTGCGGCCCACCTACTAAGCTTAGGTGTCATTTTGCCCTGCGTCTTCAGCCACCTCAATTTCTCGTGGTCTGAATACACTTTGAAGTGCCTCCCAAGCAAATAATGCTTCCAGTGGTCTAAAGCTTGCCTGAGAGCGTAGAGTTCCCTCTCGTAGGTAGATGTCGCAACCTTTTCAGAAGGCATCCTAGCAGACATGAACTCTACGGGTCTATAGCCATTGCCATTGTCTTGCTGTAAGACAGCACCTATGACATACTGACTTGCGTCAGTAGTAACAACAAAAGGCAAAGACGGATCGGATACCATGAGGACTGGGTATTCTATCAAAGCCCGCTTTAACTTCTTCAGGGATGATGTACAGTCTTTGTCCCACTTTCATATTGCCTCTTTCTTTAGCAACCTGCGGAGGGGAGCAACGATGGTGGAAAAGTTCCTGAAGAACTTTCTGTAGTAATTTGCCAACCCTAGGAACAACCGTAACTCTGTCAACGTGCGGGAAGTTGGCCAGTCTTTAATCGCTGCTATCTTACTGTCCTTAGGTTTTATACCATCTCCATCTAAGACGGGGCCCAAGTACAGAACTTGCGTATTGGCCCACTCACACTTTCGCGTTAATCTTGAAGTTAACTTCACTTACCTTCTCCAAGACCTGCCGCAGATGGCCCTCATGCTCCTGGAGGCTAACTAAAAACTAAAATATCATCTAGGTATATTACCACAAACCTATCTAACCATGGCCTAAACAAATCCTTCATGCAGCGCTGAAAAGTGGTTGGCGGATTGGTTAGTCCAAAGGGCATCACTATAAACTCGTAGTGTCCAAATCTAGTCTTGAATATCGTCTTGTGCTGATCATCGGGGTGGACCTCTATCCGATGATAGCCTGACTTCAAATCTATCTTACAAAAGTATTTGCAGCCCTGCACCCGGTCTAATAGATCATCTATACCGGGCAGTGGTTCTGCATTCTTCACTTTGATGGCATTGAGACCCCTATAGTCTATACAGACTCTAAGCTCTCCCCCCTTGGGAACAAAACGAACAGTTGCTCCAAATGAAGATGAACTGGGCCTAATCCAACCCTTCTCGAGGAGCTCGTCTAACTCGTTGTGCAGCTCCTCTAACTCCCTTGGTGACATTCTGTAGATGGCTCATTTAGGAGTCCTACTGCCAGGCTCTATTTCAATGCGATGCTGGATGGGCCACTGCACTACTCCTGTAGGCAGCTTAGCTAAATCTGTATACTTCTCCTGCAGCTTGGCAATAGCCGGATCAAGGGGTTTCTCTTCCGTAGGCTCAGTGACAGGCCTAACATAGGTTACAAAAACCTGCTCTTCTAGTTGATCCCTCTTCACTAATCGCACGAAAGCGAGAGCACTGAGACAACAATGTGCCAGGGCATTATCTACTCCTAACACATGAAACAGGCGAGCAGTCTTGAGTTCCCCAGATGGACTAGGGAGCCTACACTGATGCTCTCTTAAACGGAGTGTGGCCCCTGCTGCCTCTCCCCACTCCATTCCTTGGACTATATCAAACGGGAGGTTGTCTTCCACGAGGAGAATCGGGGAACGGAGAACGTTTTCTACCTTCCCACCTTTCTCTAGGCGAAGGTACGCCTGGACTCCCTCTACGTAATCCTCGACTCGCATAGTGCGATTGTCCGCGAGGATACTGACAATAGGGTCCTCCAACTTTCGGACCTTTAAATTCAACTTCAACTTCTGCAGCGCTTTATGACTGATATAGCTCCAGGTGGCCCCACTATCTATAAGGGCCCCTACTTGGCCTCTAAAAATCTCTACATCTACCAACACTAGCTGTCCTTTTCCATCCTTCTTCATCTTGGCCCAGGCAGGCATTCTCTCCTTCAATTCCTCTACCATGCCTGTGAGGGAAGTGCCTGACTGTGCCAAACTGATTTATCGGACGTTAAACGACTCATCAGGAGGCTGAGTCTCGACAGCCCATCCAAAGGATGGGCAAAAATCGAATGAATCTGCAACATTGATGGGGCTACGAGCAGTTACAAGGGACTCTTTGTACACACATGGTGGTTTTCAGTTTGTGAAGGACGAGCGGGTCCGTTTTTGGTGGACAAACGAACATTTTGCAGTGCCTTTCGGGCCTCTCACTCAGAGGGCTTTCACGACAGTTCGTTCGTCACTAGCAGTGGTTGCAATCGTCGTGATGCACAGAGAGAGAGAGAGAGAGAGAGAGAGAGAGAGAGAGAGAGAGAGAGAGAGAGAGAGAGAGAGAGAGAGAGAGAGAGTGGGCTGCAGTTAGCTACAGCGCCTGAACCGGGCACTGTTGGCGGCCGGGTGCGGGTGCGCGATGCAACAAGAGGGGAAATTAAAAGACCCTTGAGCTTGACTCTAGTTCGACTCAGGGAAATGACTGAGGGGCGCCCGTTCATTTTTGACTAGCGGGCTGCCACCCTACACAGGGAAATTAGGTAAAAGAAAAAGAAAGGGGGGAAAAAAAAAAAAGTAACGGCCACGTATGGATGAAAGGGGTGGAAGGTTCTAGAAGGGGGAACAGCCTGCAAATGTTCATTGTGAACAGGTTACATAAATGGCTGGGTACAGCCATTTCCAGGAGCACCTAGCCTGGGAAAACGGCCAGGTACTCCAGGGGTTGATGACCTTGGTCCCCCTAGAGGCAAACCAAGGCATTTAGCTCCTCGCCGTTGATTTACATCGAAGGTCAGGAGCACTGACGAATTTTGCCTGGCTGTGGGCAAAGCAGCTGCCCACATGCCTTCGGCTGGCTGAAAAAAGCCAGCACTCCACCCAACAGCCTCTCACTTGTGGCAGTGTTGTTGGGGCATTCATTTGTGTGAATGTTGGTTGGCTGCTGCATGCTGTTGTAGAGAGGAAGTGTTGCCGGTGGAGGAAGTGGAGGTCTGCAGGATAAGGGGAGACGCTGTTGGAGGAGTGCAGCCAGGGCAGCCATAGCAGAGGCTCGGAGCTCACTACCCCTTCTCGGCATAGGTGTCGCGGTCGGTGGGCTGCGTCAGGGCAGGACGGTGTAGTGAACGACAAGGGTCGTCAGGGGTTATGCTGTCGAAATCTTGGCTCGGCGGCAACCTTTTGAGAGGGAAGGTGTTGTGGCCGTCAGGTTGCAACAACTGCACTTCGGTGGGGAAGTGCTGCCAATTTTTTTAGCACGGAGGCAGCGACACTTCGATGGGGAGGTGCTGCCACACTGACGGCGTGGCGGCATCAAGGTCTCCCTAAGGGGAGGTGCTGTCCATTTGGCGGCACGACAACGACGGTATTTTTTTTTTTGTGAGGTTACGCTGCCAATTTTTTGGCACGGTGTCGAGCGGCTCGGTCCGGCACCGCACAAGGCAGCGCGGGACCCTCCCACCCTCATCTCACAGGACAGGAGTAGCCCCAAGTCAAGGTAGATCCCATCATATTCCTCCGCCCGAAAAGCTTCTTTGATCTCTCCTTCCTCAAACTCATCATCCTGACTTTCAGGCACAAAATCCTCACCTTCAGCCGGATTCAATGAGCCTCTTCGATCGAAATCCCCTTGCAAAAGCGTATTCGTAAGGAGATACATTCCCCCCATCAGCTGCTCATGCTCCTCCACCTGAGTTTTCTTCCGCCAAACTATGTGTACCCGCCAGTGCCAACTCCATCATCCAGTGAACGTCCTTGCCTCCCCATGGTTCCTCCTCCTGAAAGGGCTTGAGGACTAACTCCGCCTTTTGCTCATACCGGACCACTCGTTTATATGGAGGCAAACGTCCTCTTCTTGGTCCAAAAACCCATCAATTGGTGGAGTATCCTCTACTGACTCCTGATCTGGCCTGTCCCAGTTGATGCGGCTCAAGCCATCTGCCATGTTCTTGTCCCCTGGAATTCTCTCCAGCTCAAAGTTAAACATCCAAATGTACGTCAACCATCTTGCGACGGTTGGGTCAGATGGAGTATAATTCTTCAGGGAACAGGCGAGCACAGTGGGGTCCACCCTCAATATGAACCTCCTGCCAAAGACATAGTTCCGGAAGATCCTTAGGCAGTGGAGTACCACAAGCGTCTCCTTTTTAAACTGAGAGTAGTTCCTCTCAGTCGTATTAAGCGTTCGACTCTCGAATCTTAGCGGCCTCTCCTTTCCTTCGGCATCTGCCTGAACCAGGACTCCTCCCAGGGCAGTTGGTCCAACGTCCGTTTCGATGATGAATGGCTTCACCTCTGTAACCTCGTACTTTAGTGCCCCTAACACCAAGCCTCCTTCCTTAAATTCCCCCTTCATCCTCTTCGCAGCCTCTTCCTGATCCTCACCCCAAACCCATTCCTGATCCTGACGCACAAGCTTCTGTACATGCTCAGTCTTAGCGGCAGAGTTTTTCATGAAACTCCTCAAAAACCCACAAGTCCCGAGGAAGCTCCTCACATCTGTTATCGAGCGGAAGGGTACCGACCACTCGACGATCTTATCTGTTTTCTTCACATCTGGCCTCCGACCACTCTTATTACAGACAAAACCCAAGATGGTAGCTTCCCTCATGCAATGCTTGGATTTTGGGCCACTTGCTGTAAGGTTGTACTCTTCCAACAGGCTCAGAACCCGATCAAGGTCCTGAATATGCCAAGTCATCAATATAATGCTCGGTGATGCGCGGACTTCGTCTTCCTCTCTCTCTCTCGGGCCTTTGACCGCCAAGTCATCAATATAAGGCTGGGTGATGTGCGGACTAACCGTCTGCATGGCTCTAATCATATGTCTTTGCACCATCGCCACTGCATTGGTCCAACCTTGAGCGGCTATATTCATATGAATTAGCCGTCTTGGCGTACTCATTGCTATTACTGGCCTATCAGGCGGGTATACAAGAAACTGGTCATATCCAGAATAGAGGTTTATAAGCGAGATTACAGGCCTCCCTGCACATGACTCTGACAATGCGTCCGCGTTCGGCAATCCTCCCGCATCTCGTACTGTCACGGCATTTAGCCGCTGCAAGTCCTGTACCCACCGTAGCGTCCTATTCGGCTTAATGAAGCACGTGCGCATCTTGCCATCCAGGTAATCCACCACCATCTTTTCCTTGTTAGGGTTATGATACCACGCGCCTCTCAGTTTCCATGGCTCATGTGAGACGGTGTGGATCCGAATCATCGGGATCTTGTCCACATCCAGCCTCCCACGTTGATCGTCATTAAAGGCGTACGCGCGATGCCTCTTCTTCATTAACCTCACCATCAGAGCCTTCTCTTGGGGTGAAAGGAAGTCAGGCTCTCCAATTATCAGTTCACATCACTGATACGGCATAAACCACTTGATGCCTGCTCCCGCATGCGCCGTATCAATCCTCGCTCCCGCTTGCAATAGGCCTCCTCATCCTCTGTAACGAGCACGGGAACTGGGCGGCACATCTTATCTACCGTCTTGTACCGCCCTTGGGAACCCTGCTTAAGCCGTCCCCTAAAAAAGGCCGGCTTGTTGTTTGTGCCTGCGCCATCGCAGGGCCTCCTCTCCCACCGGGAAGCCGGTAGATCAATCCACTTCTCCCACCTGAGGGCTCTCCAGAACCTGCTCCCTCAATGCCTTGATGGCCTCGGGGTCCGCCATGTCATGTGCTGCCACCACTTCCATGGCTTTATTCATATCAGTGAGGCTCAGTGACAGCACTTCGGCCCCTCTTTCCTCCTCAGGTGCCTCCCATTCCTTCCACTCCCTAGCCTTGTGTTCCGGTAGGTGATAACCTCATAATTCCCACAGGCCGGATCACTTATTGAAAATCAGAGTCTCTGTCCTGCACAGGAACGATCTCCCCAAAAGAGTATAGGATGATCAACGTCTCGCATGACAAAGAAGCAAGCCCTCACCCGTACTTTGCCAATCTCTACCATCACATTGGATATCGTGCCACAAAAGATCGCCTTGCAATTGGCACCATGTAGTACGCCGTGGTCTGAGCGGTCGATTTCCAATCCCACCATGATCGCATCCCTTTCCCGGATGATATTCATCTCGGCGCCCGTGTCCACCATTGCAATGCACTTCTGGTTCCTCACCAATAAGTCCACCAAACCACATGCCACACATTTCCAGTCCATCCTTGTTCCTGCTTCCTTCCACTCTACTTCCCTTGGCAGGATTGTACTCAGATGGACATTGGGCACTAACCTCCGCGAGAGCCGTCCTTTCAAGCTATCTCGGAGCCTTGGGGTGGATGTCAGAATATCCATTAGGTTCATAAGGTCATTATGACCTTCTAGAAGCCTGTCCACCATTCTCTCCACGTCGAAGCCCTCTTCTAGCCGAACCGCTTACTTCTTCCTTTTAGGTACGGTATCGCGCTGGCTCGGCTCGGCTTCCTCCTGAGCCCCTCTCTTCCTGGCCCGTAGCTCCGCTCGCCGATCTTCCTCCTGCCGGAGCCTCTCATCCTCTTCATCGTCATCCTCCTCTTCCTCTTCCGGGACCTCCACCACTTCCTTCCTGCGCTCGGGCTCAGGTTCCCTTCGAGGGGGTGCCTGACTAGGCGCCTGGCTGGGCACTTGACTGGTACCAGCCTTGCTCTGGCCTCTGGTTCGTGTTGCCTGTGGCACTCTTCCATGCAAAGTGGGGGGCCTATAGGTCATCCCCGACCTAGGGCCTGCCCCCACCGTCCCAACCCCAGGATACCCCTGCTGCCCTGGCGCCGATCCAGGTCTGGATTCGTAGAGGAAGACTCCGGGGAGGTTGGCCTTCCACTCCTGGGTCTCGTCACACAAGTCTTTTAATTTTTGTTGGTACCTACTCACTTTCCCCAGTAAATCCTCCATCCTCTCCAAGATGGTTATGGCCGACTGTCTCCCCTCTCCCAACTCCTCATCATCTGATTCAACAACTATTGGCGTTTCCTTTATAGTCCCCGCCTTTAGTCGTTGAGTCACCTCCTCACTCTCCTCCACGATCTCCTCGACCCTTACGGCCGAGTCCCGTCTTTCTTGCCATAGCCTAAACATGGTCGGGGGTGTTGGTCCTACCGCTGCCCGCCTAAGGGCCTCCTGCCTGACTCCACCCGGAGTCTTTGGTTGAATATACTTCCTGAACTTATCGTATATGTCCCCATCCATATAGGTGGAAATCAGTCTGAAAAGTTCATCATCCCGCCGTTGCTGGCAAAATCGTATGGTGTGACCTATAATGCCACAATGCCGACAAATGGCATTCCGCCAATCAAAGCGGGCCCTTCCATATCCTTGGCCCCCTTCCTGACCGCCTTGGTTGCCTTGGCCTTCGCCATTTCGCCCTTGTCCTCTTCCTCCACCCCCTTGTTCACCTTGGCCTCTGCCGCCATTCCCCTGTCCACCCTGTCCCTGGTTCCCCCTCCTGCCATACTAGCCTGCGACGCTTACTGCGTGGGTGGAGGCTGGGCTGCAAATTGTCCCTGAGCCGCCTGAAAGCTTGGCGGCCCCGCACTCGCCGACGAGCCCGAATAGGGCACCATCTGCCCTGGGGAAACTTGGCCTCCTCCCCATGAGTTGTAGGGGTTACACATGGGCTAGGGTGCCATTGGGCAGAAGGGCGGCCACTGTCCATATGGCAATGGCGGCCCCGGTTGTGAAGGTACTGCTGACATAGACGAGCCGGCGACATTGGGCGATGGTGCTACAATCGCCTGCGGGATCTGCCCTTTTCCAAAGCCCCGCCCTCCTAGCAATAAATTGCGTTGCTTGCGCTGGGCCTTAGTGAGGGTTTGGGATCCTGTCTCTTCCTTGCCATAGTCTTCCTGCCCGGCTTCCTCTCCTACACCCTCTTTCCCCCGACCTTGGATGATGGTCACCACCTTCCTCTGTTCTATCTTGTCTTTAGTAATCCCCAATTCTGATAGAACATCCGATACAACCTTCGTCATATCTGGAGCTCTCGTAATCCCCGCATCCCGTTCCTTGCGCTTCTTCCTGTGCTGGCGCATTTGGAACTGGTGGACTTTGTCCACGTCACCTACCTGCACTCCTTTGTCAATCGTGGCCTAGGTAAGCTTTTCGCCTCCCCCTCCCTTGCTTGTGAATTCCTGGGCCTCCGTAGATTTGAACAATCCGAGGAAGATGGCACACTATTCCTCTTCCGAAATCCCTGGGACCTTTCTCGCCTTTTTCTTAAAGTCCTCGGCCAGCGCCCAAACGGTGGTGTAGTCATTCTTGTTAACGGTTTCCAGATCTGCCGCCGTTAGCAGCCCATCACCCAACTGATATTTCCTCTGCATCCCATCTTTAAATCGGGACCAATCGTCATTTGATGCCGCCATAACCTTCTTGACTTCTTCGTGCAGACCATGGTATACGTACTTCAAGATACGTTGAAACTTCACCGCGTCCGCTACTCCAACCATCGCCTGCTCAACCAACTCGAGCCAATCTGAAACTCGCTCTCCCTTGAACAAGAAGGTCTCAACCTTCGGAACACTACCACGAGTCAGATCTCGCCGATCCAAAGCCTTGACCAACTCGTCGAGTGTTATCTTGTTCCCACCACCGGCAGAATCGGCTTCAGCCATTTCTCCTTCCCTTTTCAAGTCGGAACCCCTGATAAGAAAAAGAAGCAATCACTCCATTCAACAACTAGTCGGCTTTGTAATACCATTACCGACTTAGACCTCACTTAGCCTACCCATATGACCACCAACTTAAAATCAACCTTTTTCCAACCTGGACAGGGATAGGGGTAATCTCTTAATCTTAACCGGACTTTTCCTAGAGTAATCCTAAATCACTTCTTATATTAATCAATTCACATGTCGTTTTGCCTAGATCGGCCATCTACCTTTAGCCTGGGTTCGATCTCTTCAGGACCTCAAAATGAGATCCCCGACAACGGCGCCACCTGTTGAGCGCATCGGTCCAACACCGCACAAGGCAGCGCGGGACCCTCCCGGCCTCGTCACGCAAGGAGTTGGTCTAAACCCTCATCGAGAATATACACATGAAACTTCCGCAAGCCACTCCGGCCAAGTGCGCCGGCCATACCTCTCGCAAGCCCCTACGACAGGATAGGGCCTACGATAGGCACGACTTACCTCCACCTTACGGGAGTTGTCACCTCCCTTCGATGGGCGTATCCCCGTCGAGCTACTAGTCCACAATACGAAACCTAATCAGTTACAATCACAGAGGTGGACCAGCCCAGGGCGTTTCTCGTTCGTTGTAGCATAGGGGGTATGCGTGGTGTTACGCCTCTATCGGACCCCCACGCGAATCGACATCTTGGGGGGCTGAAGTCCCAAGCGCGACTAAACGTCGGTCGACTAGGACGTATCCCACTCACCACGCGCACACCACTCTAGCAAACACAAAAATAAAACACACACGCATACGCACACATATACAAAACGACAATGAACAAACAACGCGACAACACTCCTAGTCCCTTCAGTAGCCATCCCATAACTTTCCGACGCAAAAATCGGATAGGCGTTGCGCGCGAAACTTAGTATAAAACCACGCGGACGCAGGGCCTACTCATATCGACTCGCAATGCAGGCGTACGCAGCGGTCGCAATGATGGCGTACTATGTAGTACCCATACTCACGTGGTCCTCGTTAATCTCGAGGGTCAGATTCGACACTCAAGTGTCGGCTGACATACGCCTTGAGGGTTAATCTCTCGACGTTGGACAACGGCCAAGTGCGGTTGAAGACCACACCCTCTTCTGCACCCTGCGGAGAGTGGGTGGTACACACTGTGAAGGGAATCGTCTCTTATGGCCCTGGAGACCAGCTCCTTCGCCTAGAGCCTGGGAAGATGGTCAAGGGGTTTGACTTTGACGGCTGTCACAGACTACAACGTCCAACTATAGCAATCCAAAAAAAAGCAAGGGATAAAAAGAGGATCCCCCTCTTCTTTCAACGCACGATCTGTTTAACACTTACGTGTGGTCCCAGTAGGTCGCGCGAAACATTCATGACATATTTATTTACATAAATATAGAGGGTTATGCTTACGTGACGATCACTTCTCACAATCACAGTGGGACTCCTCTCAGCCATATATATGTATATGATCGCACGCAATCAAATCCAAAGTCCGAACCACCCAACATACCTGCAATCACATCAAAGAGCCAACCAAAAGTCCATGCACTACACGGGGTCAACTTCAATCAATCTCTATACTCATACCCCTTGCTTTAGCCATGCAAGCCCCAGCCTTTGTCCAACCAAACTTAATTAAATACTCAATACCTTTGTTAAATGGCCACTCAATAAAAGACCGGGTAAAAACCTTAATAAAACAGTAAAATCACCAGGGCTAAAGCCTTTTAGGTTGAGTATTGAGGATGAATCGGAGTTGAGTCGCAGACCAACGAATCGGTCACCGACCTTTTATCGATGATAACAGAAGCTGATCTTTATAGAATCAAGTTGAATGTAGTCCTATTCTTGAATCAAACGATCAAGAAGACCTCTAACACAGACAGGCCAATCCCCCAAGCTAGATCTATAAGTCCATGGAGGATAGTTTCGATATCACGGTCTCAGTCAAAACTCGCCCTAACTAACTAAGTTTGAGTCTACCTCTAAGCAAAGTACTCAAGGAAAGGTAGATTATGACAAGATCCCCTCTATACAGAGTGGATCGCGAGAATGGCTGCCCGTCAAAATATATTCTAACTCTTCTTAGACTAAGAAAATTTCGGCAACGCTTCCCGTAGGAAAAGTGCTTTTCCATAATTTATATAAACTCAAGTATAAAACTGAAATAAATTTCTAACTCGAGAAAGCTTAAATTTTGTCTAACTTCTAGAATTAGTAAAAATTTGGACTAACTCAGATTCGAACTCAAAAGATAAATCGAGTTCAACTAAGACAAAATTCAACCAACTCCTTAGTTTTGCAAACATTATGGCAGCACTCCCTTTAGAACGACGCTATTCCAAAATTCATACAAAGGTAAGTTCAAAATTTCAAAATAACTTTCACCCTGCGTAGCACGGCGAACGCGCGGTGCTTCCCGTCCGCCCGAATACGTTCGCGAGAGACGCGTTTTGGGAAGCCGTGAACGTCGTTCGCGGGGGCCGGTACACTGCGCAACCAGCATCCGCAGATAGGATGAGCAACGCAGCGGTCAACAGGTAAGTCTCTAACTTTGCTGCTGCCTCACACAAGGTTCATCGATCGGATAACAAGCTTCGAACGACTCTTCCACTAGTATGTGGCCAAGTAGGTGCACATCTGCAGAAAAACCATCGAATAAGTCATCCTCCACTTTACATATTCCCCCTCGTTGTTTTCCACTTTCTCTCTCCTTCGTGGCCTCCCATCCGTTCTTCTTCCGCTCTTTTAATGCACGCAGACAACGAGTTAAAACCACGATCTGTTGGCTGCGCCCTACTACGCCCTGATCGCAAACGAAAGGAGCGAATGAATTTGTTCGTTGTAACACGGTAAAGTACATTGGTGATTCGTAGACCCCCTCCCTTCTTCTCGAGCGCAGTCGTAATACTAACCCTGGCCAATCTAACGATCTAGTATCAGAACCAACATTACTATTGCATTTGTCGACAATCTAAACCTCTACTTCAGCCCTTTTCCTAACTGATTCCACCAAAAATCGACAGAAGAGACTCAATGCAGAAGAGACTCAATGCAGAAGTGACAAACAGACTCAGCAAGTACCATGGGGGGAGTGCACATCCATAGGGCGACGGGATAGGTTGAAGGCTTGGCGAGAGTATACCAACTCCAGCTTGGTTACATTCGTGGTCAACAGCTCCGATCAACACTGGGCAACTTCCCGGTCAACACCTTGGTCAATGCTGGTCAACGCCTCGATCAACCCCGGTCAACACCTCAATCAACACCTCTATCAACCCCAGTCAACTCCCTGGGCCTTGGTCAACGCTCAACTCAGCTATGGCTGCCGACTCCTTTTTTCCCTTCAACCTTCACTTTCCTCCTCTTCTCTCCTTCCTTCTTTGTTCTTCACCCCGGCTATGGCTTCTCTTTCCTCTTTGTCTCTCCTTCCTCTTCCTCGGCTATGGCTTCCCTCACTTTCCTCTTCGTCTCCCCCTCTTCCTTATCTCGATCGTCTTTCTTCTTTGTTTACTCTGTGTCTGAGCTCGACGGCTATGGTCGCCACTTCCTCCTTTGGACCACACAACCAATCTTGTATCGCTCCTCTCTCTCTCTCTCTCTCTCTCTCTCTCTCTCTCTCTCTCTCTCTCTCTCT